GAGAAAGAAGCGTATGAGGGCAAATATAATGAAGCTGTCGAATCGATGGAAATGATGACTCTTGACAAAGAAATGGCTGAAGAAAAAGCCGAAAATTTGCAACACGAAGTAAATTTATTGAAAGAAAAAGTGGAAGAAATCAGTGTAGACTTAACTGTATTCAAACAAGAAGGCGGTAAGACTGTCGATTCTCATAATTAATTTATTTATACTATGTATTAGATAATTTTATTAATTTTAACTGATTTCATTAGATATAATTAATCAGACTGATGCTAGTGGTGAGACAAGACCTGCCGTAGAAATTATTCAATTAGAAAAGCAGAATGATCGTTTAAAGGAGGCTCTTGTGAAGTAATTTAAATTTCAATATAAAAATTAATAATTTTATAAAATCATTGCTAATTAGTATTTACTATACAGACTTCGTGATGTGACGAGTGAACAAGAAGCAGAACTTAATAAAAAAATCAAGAGTTTAGAAAAAGAATTGGTTTCTCTTCAGGATATTCAAGGTTATTTTATATATATGTTAACCCTTCAACTTAATTTTTATATCGTGGTGACTAGTCAATAGAATTTATAATAAATTTATTATTTTCTATTATAGTTCAACATGATCAAATGAAAAATCAATTAAAAGAAGCCGAAAATGCTATAGAAGATTTAAAGATTCGACTTGATGATGCTACGAATGCCGATTATATGCTTGAACAACTTACTGACAAGAATTTGGCACAAGGAGAGGTAAATAGAGTTATAGTTCTACATCCTGTAATTACTGGTCAGGAATTAATTTTTTATTTGAATGATATAGAGACTTGAAGAAATGAGAGTTACGATTGAAGATCTTGAAGCTCTGAAAGAATTAAATGACGAGCTTGAAGAAAGTCACATCGAAAACGAAAAACAACTTCAAGCTGAAATTGGTACATAATTTTTTATATAGCATCTAATTTTCCGTTTAAAATTAATTAATTAATTATCTTATATATATTTCACAGATCATAAAGATACACTTATTCGAGAATATTTGAAACGCATTGAGATGTCTGACGAAACCAATGCTGATTATGAAAATACTATAAATCAATTTCGTGAATTAGTGGCTAATTTACAAAGGTACAGCTTAATAAGTTTATTCTTTTGTTTTTTATTAGTTTAAGTAATATTTATCCTTTAACTTAATACTTTCCATAGTGATCTTGAACAATTCCGTCAAAAAGAAGAAAGCCAATATTCAGAATCAAAGAATCTTAGCAGCCAATCGCAGACTATGCTTGACCTGAACTTCAAGTTACAATCTACTGTTCTAAAAGCTCAAGCAAAACAAATAGACTTGGAACTTCGTAAATTAGATGTTACTCAAGCATCGGAGAATTTAGCCTTTGTACAGGTGCATATCATACTGATAGGGATTAAATTTTTTTTTTTTTTTACTTTTTACTAATTATTACGATTTTTTACTGTTAAGCCATACTTGCCAGATTCTTTCTTCCGTTCTGAAAATGATTCTATTCGTTGCTTGCTTTTATTAAAACGTTTAGTTTTCAAGTCCGAATTAATTATTAAGCAAGTTGACCAAATTCATAATATTCCAGAAAAGCTAAATACAGTAGTTCCTGAAGAATTAATGGCCGTTTGTGAAGTATGTTTGTTTTTGTTTACCTTTTTTAATTATTTTATAAGTAATAATATTTCTGAATTTAAACCAGTTCCGCCAAAAACTCGCATGGTTTTCCGATATAGCTAGACGCCTTGTTTCGTTTGTTAATACTTGCCCTGTTGAAACTTTCCTTAAAATGGGTCAAGTTTATCATGATTTAGTTGGAACTGAGCGTCGGTACGTATTTTGACTATATAAATAGAATAAAAAGATATCCCTTAATTAATCTTGGTTTATCATGAACCCATTAGACTCCATGGGATAGTAGATCATTTGAGAAAAGAAGAGCTTAAGGAGGCTGAATGTATTACAGATGTTCAAAGGTTGGTATATTTTTTTTCTTTTATCATCGTTAAAGATTGTTCTTAAAAATATTCTTTATTTTATAATAGATCCATCGCTCAACTTGAACATCTTGCTGAGATATACCTTTCAAACACCAAAATCGATGAAGCAGATAAATTATTTGCTTACAGTAGAGGATTAGACCTAAATGCAGATACTATGGCGGTTTCTCTTGGTCATCTCAAACAAGCTGTTGCACTTGCTTGTAAAGATGAAGGTGAAGAAATTATTATATTTTGTTTATGGTTATATTTTTCACACATATATTAATCACATTGGCAATAATTTTCATAGAAATCAACGTAACAGAAGGAATTGATAAATTTACTTCCGATTTCTTCTTACCACTTCAAAGTTTGGTTTCTCAATCTAGAAGCAGTAAAGTTATGGCAAGGTATGAGACTTACGACTTTTATTTTAAATTCAAAGGAATCATAAATATAATTAAAATAATTTATTTAGGAAATTAATTCGTCGATTGGATGATATGGCGGATCAAAATGCGGGGTTAAAATCCGACCTTCTTGCTCAATTCAAGATGTGTTTCTCACTTAGCACAAAATTAACTTCATTCAGTCAAGAGGTTAGTTCATTATTTTAACCATTTAATGTAATCTTTTTCTAAATATATATATATCATAGGTTTGGAAGGGTATATCCGCTTATATTAATGAGAAGAAAGATACAAAAGAAGAGCTATTACTTAGTGGTTTACAACAAATTATTTATCGAGTTACCGAAAACATATTAGGAATCAATGAAGTGAATATGTGGGACGGATGCACTAAGTCGTTACTTACATTATGTTCAGAGATTAGTAACTTAAATAATGCATCAAATGATCCTGAAAATACCACCTATGGTATGTTGATATTTTATAGGTTTCAAACTAATCATTTCATAATTAAGTTTAAGAGTGATGTTATTATAACAAATTTTTATGCAGTTAAAAAGGGAGAAGCACCTTGGAATATTAGAGCGAAAGAAATAAAGGCTGAGTTGCTTGTAAATGCTGATATGGAACGTAAAGCTCAACTGCAGCAAGAAGAAATTCGTGATTTGATCAGAGAAAAGAAGGCAAAGGTAAGAATCGGCATAATTATTTATTATAAATCTCACGTTTATACTTACCTTACCTTCATTTCACTTAGGATCAACTTTTGCAAGAATCTAGTGTTAAAATAGAGTTATTAGAGAAACGTATGGAAACTGTTAAGAAACAGGTAAATAATTTCATGCAATTATAATGATATATTTGCTTTTGATAAAAAAACGATTCAACTTTTTTTTTCTTGCAGGCTGATAAAATCAACGCTCTGGAGCAAGAACTTGAAAACTCAAGGAAACAGGAAACAGACTTTGAAGAAGCTATGGAAAGTCTTCAGCTAGAACTTGAAAGTTTAGAACGACAGAATCGACAATTTGTCACACTTGCAGGAAATATTGAAGACGGAGGTTTTTATATTATCATATTGTAAAGGTTACTCATTGTGATAATAATCATGTAGTTGTTAATTAAATCTTGTTTTCATAGCTATTCCCTCTTGTAATACTGAATTAAAGGATGAAGATATTGAAGACGATTTAGGAAGGTACGCGGATACTAATCCGCTAGAAAATCAGAGATTAGTTAGCCAGGTACGTTATATGATATTTTATTTGATTTTTCGCATTCATTAACCTAACTTTACTAATAAGTGCATACTTTTTAGATCGAATCTTTGAAATTTGCTATTCGTTATCTTAGAGCTGAGAATTCTCATTTGAAAGGTAAAGATGCGTTAAATGCATTAGATTGGCATTTGCAACCAAAGAGACGCAAGGCTTTTAAGAATCAAGATGAAGAAGAATTGATGAAATCTGTAGCGTTAGAGGCCAAATCACTACTAAAGGTACCATTAAATGCTGTTTTCATTCATTTTTTTGCCTTTATGAATTTCTAACTTGGAATTATTCTTTAGGATTTCCGAAACGTTAGTGCTTCACCTCGAATTATTGACATTACCAGAACATTAGAAAATCAAAAACAATGGAGACCGTTAAAGATGACTCCGGAATATCAATATCAAGCACAGCAATCAGTCATGTATACTTTTCAACAACGAAGCAACGAGTTAAAATCGAAGCTTCAAAAGCTTGGAAAAAACAATTTACAAAAGCCTTCAAAGGTTTGTCATTTATTTTGTTGTTACTATTGGAAAGTGATTTTTATTAACACAATCATGAATTATAGAATGGTGGTGTTGGAATAAAACCTTCAATTATTGGACGAATTCGTTTACCCGTTTTAGACAATGCTAAAGATTTGGATAATTCTTTTTCGAACCATCATAATATTAAACTTAAGAATCCATTGGATTTTGAAAAAATTCATACTATATTTGTTAATTAATATTACAAAACCTTTTTTAATATATTGCATTTTTATTTTTTTATTTTTTTTTCCAATGAAATAATAATATATTTTAAATTAAGTGTGAAAAAAGGAAAAAAAAAAAATTCCGAAATTCAAATGTTCATTTTTCATGTACGCTTATCGTTATTTTTATATTTATAGTAAATTTGCAAGTTAATAAGTTAATTGAACAATATAACTTTTCTCATTTTGTATAGTATTTTATTTATTTTGTTATTTATATATTATATATTATATATTATATATATCGATAATAAATGATTTATCAGGGTATCTATTCAACATTTCGCCACGTGACCACAGAACTGCACGTTCGTGCAACGTAATTGTTAAATTTCCGATATCAGAAGCAATTTTTTTTTTCAATTATACTTGTTAATCGCTTCATTTTCACAAAAAATGGTAAATGTTAACTAAAAGAGCTCCTGAAAATATGAATGTATTGCGAGTTCTTATTTCATGTTCATTCATTACTTTTTTTATAGTCGGCATTATTTAATTTCCAAAGCTTATTGCTTGTGATTTTATTGACCATTTGTACCTGTACTTTTATTAAAGCTCAAGCACCTACTCTTCTAAATAGAAACAAAACAGGGTATTGTTTAAGATTAAATTTGATTTAAATAGAAAATTTCAAAAATGTTGATTTTTTCCTTTACAATCCACTTTAGTGTACTGGGTTTATTTTGGAAGGCTGCAAGAATTGGTAGAATTGCGTTTGAAATTTTTTTTTCTTTCTTTTTCATTTACATATTTTGATACGTTTTTCGATGACTAGGAGAACGATTGAGTCCATACGTCTCTCTAGCTTGTATTGCCATGGCGATTAGCATACTCTTGGCATGAATTTAAGAAACGAATGACGTCAGGAGAATATAATAGCATTTCATATCATGATGAACTTTTTTTTAAAATTGATTATTCCAACACTTTTCAAAATAAATAATTCAAAGTTTGAGTATATTTAAATAAACTTATTGCGTCATTTTAATCATATATTAATTAATCTCCTAATCAAACCAAAATCAATATTATTGAGAAAATCGAATCAGTTATTTTACAAAATACTTAAAATTCTTGGACTGGCGGATTTGAACGAGACTACAAAAAAAGAAATTATATACATAAATATATAAAGAAATATAATTCATTCAAAGAATAAATTGGATTTGTAGAAATACCTCGTCCAGATCATCTTTAGTTTTATCTTCAAAAGCTCGAATATCATCCATAGTCATACCAAACCATTTATCAGTGCAGCAAAAAAGTTGTCTGTGAAATTTTGTGAACAATGATTGCATTGTACTTTGAATGAAAGACTCGATTTTACTTTGCATGCCAAACCACTTAAATTCAACAGTAACTAGTTTATAACAAGTCATAACCGGTGTAACTGTCTTAATCCAGTCACCTTTCAAAGGACCTCGACCGGTTTTTTCGGAATGATATAAAGTTGGATCTTGATCCTCTCTATAATCTTTTTTCTCAATGCAATCATTTGCAATATCAATGATCACACATTTTCGTTTTTCAAGCAAATCTTTAGGGATGTTCAAAGCGTTTTCGATTTCACCACGACTGTTATCAACATGCATTGTCTCTGTAACTAATTTAAAATTTTCCTTCATATATCCATTCTATTTTAAATTCAGAAAAAAATATATTAATTCAAAATTTTAACGAATCATCACATGTGAATGTTCTTTAATACCTACAGTCAAAACAGTTTTACAATGAGGGAAAGCATTCCATGCCTCCTCATATAATTCAAGTGATCCATTCGGTGCTACTAGACGAATAATCGCGGGAACTTTACTAAATCAAAAAAAAAAAAAATACTGTTATTAACGATACCTTTTCTTTAAAAAAAAAAAAAAAAAATTGGATAATTTAACATTATACAAAACCTGGAAAGGTGATATATTTTATACGTGTATTGTCCTTTGCTTTCATCATTTACATATGGTTCATTCTTGATTACTTCTACCCCTTCCCCTCCCCCTGTTTCGTCTTTTGAAGCTTCCGCAACAGTATACAACTGAGCTACCTAATAATAAAAGAAACGACATTGTATGAAATTTTCCTGAAATTTTCCCGTGAAAAAAAGGCAAAGTATTAGACAAAACATACTTGATATTCTTCGCATGTACAGTTATTAATTACTTTATATTCCTTGATGATCATTTTTATGTTTCCTTTCAAAAACGTTCCGACAAAATAAAAAGGTAATGGTAAAAAAGTTAATTTATATTTTACATTATATAAATGTGACACGTTACAAAAGATGGTGATGAAGCCCCGGAGCGTAACGAAGGAACTATCTATATACGGTCTATGTTGAATGACACAAAAATGTCCCGATGTCCGCCCGCTCGAAATTTGAGTCGATACGTGATTGGTCTCTTTCATTACACTCGCACAATGGTTTTCCTTGTTAGTATAATTGAGTCGATTACACAATTTTTTTTAGTTAAGATCTCTCCGGACTTTCATATCGTCGGGTTAGTGATTTTGCCAAATTTATTGGAGGATAATGAGACGCTATATATAAATGACTATTTCTTTTCGAGCCTTAGCATTTCTTATATTAAATTATTAGAAGATTGTAATTATTGTTTCGATTCCGAACTAAATAAAATAAAATTTTTTTTTTAAATTGTAGTATTTGAAATTTTTTGATTTGGTCACCAAAAAAGATTTAACAATACAATTCAATTAAAACAAGTTTCAATATTATGAGGGCCATCAAAGACACAATTAAAACTTTTCCGTCTTGAATTATTGATCAAAACCTCTACTATTTTCGTAAAAGTATCATCACAACACAACTATCACCAAATAAGTATACTCGATAAATCATACATTATTTTTGATACGTGATTGACTTGCCGATAATCTTCACGTTGGAATAGCAATTTTTACGCCGACATTTCAGTTCGATCGTATCATATTATTAGTAGTATATATGGAGACCTTATTACAAAATTTTTTGTTAAAAAATTCCCAGAGCATGATTTTCCTAGCAAACTTCCCATATGTCACGTGACATAGTTACAAAAGTTTGAATGATTTGGAGACTATTTGAATATATTACTTGGGATATATATACGAAATAATAACCTACTTCTCCTTTAAAAGCATCACATATTTCATAATTAAAGTTTACATTGGAAATTTTTTCTCCTAATGGCAATTTATTTTTTTTGCTTGTCGAAACTTTCGCGTAATGACGGTTGATTCGTCGCAATCAAAATTACTTCATCAGGTGGTTCAGAGATTTCAATTGGCATATTGATCGGTGAAAGATAATTATAATCTACAAGTGAATCGACGTTTCTAATCATCTTATAAAACGAATCCTTGATCCTCTGATTCCACTATTGCTTCAACCTTTCCAGACTTTGGTGGGTAAGCGTTACCTGTAAATTTCAAGTTTATTTGATAAGGACCAAGTATCATCTTCTTATCTGAAAAATAACTGGCTTTTAAAATTGTCAGAAATGGTCAACTTAAAAAGTGAATAAGTCTGATATGTATCTATGTATAGACATACATATCGATAATGAGCATACGTGCACCTACTATTTTGCCTCAGAGTTCTTCACATTCTTTTTAAATAATAAATATCGTAGCACTTGAGTATGTGTAAGTATATGATTCAGTACGACATATCATGTCGAGGAAGAACATGCATTACAAAATATTTTTTTAGCTTCTTCTCTACTCAAATCTCTAACAAAATATGTGGGACATGTAAAACGATGTAGATTAGATCTTTACGTTACTACCACTAAACGGTTTTACGATTTACAATCCAGTTAAGAAAGAATGAATCAGTAGAGGTAAGCACCACGTGAAAGCGTTTTCTTCTTTTGTGTTTAACACCAACCAAGAAGACTGGTGGAGGTATATTGCCACCATTTCAAATGGACCAGTTTGAAAGATAAGCACTAATATTATAAGCAACTTTATGACTTTATAGAAGTAATTGCTCTATCGTCACCAAGCTTATATCTTACATTGAACCCAACATAACAGGCACTTAATTGTCTTCCTACAACTCTCACCAAGAAATCTTTATATTTATTGAAAAATGATTTGAATTGCAAATAAATTGAATTCATAGATTCTCCCTGCTGTGTTTACGGCACTTGGTAAAAGGAGGGTTGAGAATTGCCGTTTCTTATTATATTCGAGATAATTATCGCCAGTAGTGATTTAGTGATCTTAAAATTCGATCGACGGAACATTATCCCTATATATTACCCGCTTACTCCGTGATGTTTCATATTGATATATTACCGGATTCACTATCGGAGTTGAATTTTCCGTGAAAATATCAACATGACGCAATTACCGTGATATATCAAACGAAAATCGTACCGCAAAATATTTAATTTAGTAAGCTTGATATAAAAAAAGCATTTTTTAAAATATTACATTATTACAAGCATTTATGATTAACGAAATATACATTATTTAAAGTAAAAGTTAACATTTTGAAAGTGACATTTATTAAACATCAGAGCCTTTTCTTTACTACTATTATTGAAAAGCATATTAATTGGTAAATCTTGTAATTCAAGATTTATAATTTGTAACAGTTTCTTATTGTAATCTTGAATTAGTTGCACAGGAAATAAAATTTCCTTTTCAATATCAGTATTTTTGGATGTTTTAGGTTTTAAACATAAATTATTTAAAAAGTTCACGAGCAGTATTAAATTTTACAGTCTTCTTGATTTCATTTTTTAAGAAATGTAAAAAAAAATTATTTATAATGTAAAAACAGTATTTACGTCACAATAAAATGTGACTTATATAATTCATGTGATTTTTATTATCAAGGGCGTTAGTAATCGAGAAATATAATAGTTATTTACCGCTCAATCGCCAATATCATCAGGGTCATAGCTGCGCTATGACATCTGATGATATCTCTGATTTCACGGTAAATAACTAATACATATTCAACT